CCTTCTTTTGTCAAATTTCAAATGCCAATTCGTTTTTAGCCCTTGTTTGATAATTATTATTTTAAAACTCTTTAATTATTTTAAACGATAAAATATTTAGTAAGTAAACTCAAAAAAATTTCCTACTTTTTAATTACACATTCTTCAAAAAATTTCTATTCAAAACTCCATTTTTTTTCAAAATAATGGCCATTAAACTAGACTTAATGAAAAAATTGCATTGATCTTCTCCTGTTTGGCCTCGCATTATATAATTTTTTTTTCAAACTCATTTTTAATTATAAATTCTCCAAATAAAATTATTTTGTACGTACGATTGAAAATGATTCTGAGCCCTGTTTTAGCCTCATTTTCTAAAATTCATATTTTCAAACTCATTTTCAACCACACAATTTATGAAACTCACAACTTTTATCAACACATTTCATCAACTTTTATTAAAAATTAATTTTTATCTAAGCTCCTATTTGACAACCATTAAAATAAGTTTTTTTTTTTTAGAAAAATGAGGGGAAAAAAAGAATTTTATTTCAATGATTCTTAACAAGAGCTAAATGAAATGAGGGCTAAAACCAAAAGTGAATTTTAAATGGTAATTTTTTTTAAAATGTAATTAAAAAGTTACTGAGAAATATGACTTCTTTTTAATACAACCTTATTTTTATTAATACATTTCATTCTATCAACAATTTTTATTCACTTTTTAACCGCACATTTTATAGTTGCAGTTAGGGTTGAACAACGAAATCGTCAAATGCAAAATCGAATCGAAACTGTTTGTTTGGATCCACATGGATTTGTTGACGTTTTGGTTTTAAACTGAACCAAACTGCTTCAAAATGGTTTGATTTGGGTTTTAATCTCTACAAACCGTTTCAAACCGCCAAATTATATTTAAAAATTGAAAAAAAATATTAATTTAAATTTTATCCAACTCAACTAGAACTAGACACATCCTAGTTAAAAAGTTACATCCATATTAGACATAATTCAATTAAACTCAATATCTAAATTGACACTTATCTATCCCAATTAATTATTTAAATCATACCAAAATACTAATGTTAGCTGCCACAATTGTGAATGTAAAATCCTCAAATTAAGTGAAGTGTTGAACAACTGCTATTAAACCATATTCATGTATCACCCATTACAATTGAGTAAACAATCAAATCTAGATTTTAATTTAGATTCAAACATTTCTTTCCTTCTAATAATAATTTCTTGAATTTCTGATAAATTTTCAAGTAAGTTTATCCAATATTTTTTTCAATTTGATGATAGTTCAATTTCTCCTCATAAATTCAATTCCTCAAATTTTCTCCAAATCTCACCTCTAATTATATATATCCTGACTTTTCATTTTTTTTTCTCAAAACTTCTACTCGGCTTATTCTTTGTAATTAGCTAGATAATTCCTCAAAAATCTTTGCTTTTTTCCACAATTCACAATTCCTCACCAATGAGAATTAGTAGGAATTTGCATTCAATAAGGTGTAGGAGTAGGGGTTATTCAGTAGGTTTGTAAGGTACATGTTGAGAGTTCTTTTGTGGTTATGATTCTTCACTTACGACTTTGGATGTAAAGCATTTCGTTTCTTTTGTCTCATCGAATGTATTGGAAGATAATTTCAAATAGTTAGATACCCCACCTTATGCTAAAGACTTTATGGTGCTCTGTCGAGACATATGATTTTCCGAGATGATTTTGTTATTAAGGTATTTTACGAAGCTGAAAAAGCTCAAAGAAGCTATGTACTTTAAATTTAAAGGTGGAGTGTGAGAGAGACACTATTATCACTTATGTTAAGTGTAGACCCATTATCCACTTAGATTGTGAGAAGTGATATGATGATAGAGGATTATTCTAAGAACTTAGGATTTATAAAGGTCTACCAGTTAGACATGAGTTGAGTGATCACTCTAGTAAGCATAGTGGGTAATGAGAGGAGATATGTGTTTTTGAAGCGTGAACAACACGGAATGAGATATGATAAGTATTATGAGATCTTTTCGTGGAGTTATTTATGCATTTGTTGCATATGTGTTTTGACCGTTTGATTGATTAACTTAATATTAATCTGTTGTTCTGTGTGAACGTGTTTTGAAAAGATCTGTGGGTTATCCTATGTTATATTTTAATCGCATGATTATTTACTGTAATTATCTGCTTCTATTTGGATGTTATTTAACATTAGCCCTGGTGAGTACATTGTGCAGTTAAGGTATATGTTTCAAGTTTGAAACACAAGATAAGGTTTGTGATTCCAATTTTATTGGTTGTCTTGATTATGCAAGCATTAACCCTGTGTTTTTTGGTTACTTGCAGGGTAATTGTGTATCAAGGTGGATATTTGTTGGGTTTTGATATTCAATGAATCTCAGGCTATGATATAAATGTTGAATTAAATTGTTACTAACAACCAAGTCCAAATGCTTGACTTGAAAACAACGTAGGCCGTTGGAAGTAGTTTAAATAATTAATATTGCTCACGTCCCATATATATTTTTTGGATGACTTTGAATCTGGGCTCATTTAAGCCTTGTATTGGTCCAACTAAAACATAATCTAACCTATATATATGGTGTATTTACTCTAGCTGTAAAGTGTGTGATTTGTGTGAGAAAAGAAAAAAATAAACCGTGTGTATGTAAGAGAGAAATCGGCATCCTGCTTGAGAAGAAAAAACGTGAGGCTTCCCTTTGATTTTTTGTCTCGTTTCTTTCCTTCTTTCATTGTTTTTTCTTTTTGCCTTTATAGTTACAAATCATCACCATTATATTGTTATTTGTGGGTGAGATTGGGGAATAATCGATGTGAATATATTGGTTGTGGGTCGGAGTCATTTAGATTGGTTGCTTGGTAGAGAAATGTAACATGAAATTGAGTCCGAAAATCACCATTTTGACTATCCTTAAAGCAAGCTTCCGCAATGGGAAAGTGGGCATCCTTATTTGCAGCATTGCATAGAGATGGCAGCTTTGTTGTCGATGACAAGGGCTGATTCTACAGTTGTTTCTCCAGGGCTTTTGCTAAGCTTGTGTAATAAAAATCAAGTGATGGAGTTCTAAGCATTAATCGATTGTGCAGGTTGTGTAACAAATGCTGGTCTTTGACTATTAGATCCACCATGGGACGAAGTATAAAGAAGCTCGAGGAGAATTAAGAAGCCCAACTCTTCGAGAGATTTGTTGATTGTATTTACATTGATATTCAATTTTAATTGTTTCATCAATAAAATCATTTAATTCAATTTGTACCGTCAACGGACTACATGTCGATTATTAAAGGTTGAAATTCAAAAAAAAAAAAACAGCACAAGAAGCAATCATGCGTAAAATACTCTGTTCATATGAAATTATACATTCGTATTTCTCATTGTTGACTATTGGATTACACATTCTGGTACTAGCAATTGTTAAGACATTTACTAAATTTACACTACTCACAGATTCTATATTCAAACAAGAGAATATAAAAGAGCACATATGCCACATAAGGTGAAGGCATTCTATCAGTCTTAACATAACATATAATGATATGGTTGTGCTACAATTAAACCAACAAGGTTTACTGTCCAACCAAATAGTTAAAAAAAAGACTAAAACAAAGAGATGAAAAAAAAACATTTCTCTCTTCATTTACATAGACAAATTGAAAGCAAATGCAAATCTGTACCACGAGCTACTAAAAACAAGACCGACCAACTTAAGAGTGGAAAATTGCATAAACTTATATCTTCAAAAGGGTTTTGCTATTTCCACACCGGGGTATCCCCTCACAAAAGAGGGGGCCCACATCCAATAAAAAAAAAAAAATCAATTATTAGTACGTACACATAAAAGAATCTTATTAATGAAAATTGACTTATAGGCGAAATAGGAAAAAATATAATGAAAACTTACATGCTATGATTGTTCGGAAATGATTAGCTCATTTTCATTTTCCTTTGGGTTCTTAGTACATATCATCTTGTCATGATCTAAACCTTTGCATAATGTACATTGATGCATTTTATTTTTCTGTGTCAATTCAATACTTGATATAAACCTTCTTGAACCGACACAATCTTTTTCTTTACATTTCTCATCATTCTTCCGTCCATTTGTGATTGAAACATTTGTAATTGGTGATTTTTAAAAGGTAAGTAGGGTGGTATGTTTGGATATGATATAAAATTTTTGGAGGATTTTAATATAATTGATGAAGATCGCTGAGTTTTTTAAAATTTAAGTATGTGTTTGGGACACATTTTTTTGAAATAATGTATTATTGAATAGTAGATTAATGGAGAATGTGGAAAAGTTATTGATGTGATGAAAAATATTATTTTATTGAAGAATATGTGGTTGAAAATGAGTAGAAGAATGAGAATGAAAAAAATAATGTGTACCAAACAGGGCCTAAGAGTCCAAATTACTTGTAAAAAATCTTTGTCAAATGTATTGATAAGCGAAACGCTCCCATACATCAATGATCATCTCCTTGATTTCTCTATTTATATACTTCATGTCCATTGATGTCATTAATACTATTTCTAGACAGGTGAAGTCCCTAGCCCCCACTGAAATTTTAAATTTTTTTAAAATCTTTTTATTATTTTTGTTTATGTTTAGCATTATTGTGGTTTGTGTTGGAAAAAAAAATTCGATTGCCCCCACTCGATCTAAGTCCTGCCTTGGCCACTGAATACTGCATATTTTCTTATATTGAGCAATGCTAGTCAGAAAGCACGACATTCTTGGCGCAAGAAGACTCTCGTCTCAACGAAGCTGTCTCTCATATCCCGTGTAATGTGAACCATTTGGCATTGCTATTGATGAACAAAACAATACAATTAGAGTGATTGTTCTTCACTTCCCTTTCACGAGTAATTTTAGTAAAAAACAAAAAAATTAAAAAAAGGAAAAAAAGAGTTGTAAATATTTTTTATCATAATTTCTACTGAATTATACTTCAGAATTCCAGCCTAGCTCTTTATCAGAGCTTGATATTTCACCTAAGACTTCGACAGAGCCCGGCCTGGTGCCCACGAATATACCTCAGAGGGCAAAGTTACACTAGTAAGCAAATTCTGTGGAATCCCATATGCCTCTGAGACATCGATATGGTGACGCTGCCTATTGTTTCGATACTGTTGATTCTGTTTTGCCGAAGCAACCATTTCATCTTCATCTAAAGGCAAGCGATCAAATGTAGCATTCATAAATGTTGCAGCCATGATGATAACAGGACCCGACGCAACTAGCGGACCTACCACATTGCCACCCACAACCTGTCCTTGAGTCCCGGTTAGATAGATTATTAGGCCGGTGACTACTGGTGGGGCCGGTGGGGGCAGAATTGATCCGAGCAATGAGAGAATCTCGAATCTTCCATGGAGTGTTACAATTGATCCCGATGAGGAAGGCTGACAAAGGGTGACGTTGGTTACACACCCTGTCGCGCTAAGCACGCATATGCCACGTTGTTTCTTGTGCGCAAAGTTTAGTAAGCTTTCGTTCACATCACAGCCGGAGGCTACCTCCATGGCGTGTGCTTTTAGCGCGTTGGCGCTGTCCCTGGTGACGATGATTGGTGGCTTGGGCTTGTTCTTGGATCCAACTGGCCTTCCACGAGGCCTTCGGATGGATTCTCCATCAGCTGATTTTGGTAATTTTGGAGCTACAAGTAAACTTCTTGCATCAATCCCTCCATTGAATACTTCTGAATTTTGATCCATGGAGACTTTGGTTGTAGTAGGGTGTGTTAAGCCTGCTCCACCAGCCATTACTTCACTATTTTCCTTCACGAAATCGCGAAATTTGTGTTCGGATTACGAGTTTAAGTAGGCCAAATATTAAGTTAAAATTTTGGTGAAAAGACAAAATAATTGGTTGTAGATTAGATTATGGTTAGTAAGTTATAGACGTAATGTGTACTTGTGCTCCCTTTTCCTAACTTTCAACAGATTTTTCTTTCATGAGTATTGCCTTTATTAACAAACAATCATAATGTTTCCACTAAGTACTGTGTATTGGATACTTAAAACACCTACTAAATACCAAACAGTTCTTTCTTTAAGAGAAAACACCAAGAAGTGCTTGAATGAAATCTCTTTTTTAGCACGAGTCATCACTGTCTATCGTGCAAATCTCGACCACTTAATCCTTGGTTGATTAATATTGTTCTAGTCGAGTTTTACGCTCTTTCTTTCTCTAATTTGCTGCTAAATTTGCAGATAAGTGCACAGTCGTATTGTCTGCTGATAAGATCAGAGCGTATTAGTACCTAACCATATCCATGATGACCAAATTCTGCATGAACCTAGGCTGTATCTTGCTAAGAAGTGCAAGTTTTTCGTTCAAGCCTTACTCAAAAGTATATATTCCCTTTCAAGGAGTTCATGGCTCAATCGTCGTTGGACAATATTAAAGAAGAAAAAGTAGTTAAAATCTTGCCTTTTTTATTAACGGGTTGTGCCTAATTTGTACATCAAACATGCCCCTAAATTATTCAGTGGAGATGAGGCTTCGAATACACGCTGAAGAGCCCATGCAGAACCAAACTAACTTTTCAGAAAAGTTGATAATCCTGACAGGGCCAAACATGCTGATAATTTTGCCATCAAACATGTAAATATTCTGGTCTTCTTGCAATAGGGCCACAATCACTACAAATGTCAACAGTTCGAAATCCGTCGTCGGGTCCACAGACCACAGCACAGCTGACCAAATTCGGAACACCTCCGTAAGAAATTTGCAAGAGTCGATGACTGAACGATGAGAATAATTAAACTTATCCCTTTATCCGTTTCAACATCTCTACTTTTCCTGCCTATATATTCTTTCCCTCAGGCTGCTCTTCTCCTCCACAGATAAGAGTTGATAGCTCTATGATTGCGAAAATTTTATTGCATTGCATGCATTTCATGAATAGGAGGAGAGTGCAGTAAAGCCAAGGATGAATTGCCGGCGCAGTAATACTACATATATATGCATGTTTGGTACACTGTACAAGATAACAGATAAGATTTTAAGGTCTAATCTAGTATATCAAACATGCCATATTTTTATTACATGTGTTGGCAATTTATCCTTTGGCTATATTGGGCTCTCTTCTTTTCATGTAATGCGTATGTGAGGTTCCATTGTTTTGAATTGCTCTATCTACTTGTGAACATAAATCTCGTGTTTTTGTATTTTCTTCTTTAATCATATTCATCGCTCGAGATTCACTTGACAATTTCATCTAGTGGCATTTGCATCCACTGGAATTGCTAGAGATGGGATTTTTGAGTTCGATCTTCTAAAGAGTGCAGGTAACGGGGTTTATGCCTCTTTTATGTCTTTCCTTTTATTGTCTACAAGGATCGATTGAGTAGATCTTAGACACCTAAGTTTGTGTCCACATACAAGACTTAGCTCGGCCTTACACGAGTCAGCTAATTTTTTTTTTTAAGATCGATAAAATAAGTCAAAAAGAGTTTAAAAATGAATCGATCCCACGAGCTTCAGATGAGTCGGCTCATTTGCCTAACCACGAAACCAGCTAGTGAAAAAAAAATTCGACTCATGGCTCGTTTCAATATGAACAAGAGCATTCCATCGTCGCCTCGACCCATCGATCAAAGTTGAAGTTTTATCCGTTGAAAACTTTATAAAACCTTGCAAGCATTATATTAATTGAAATTGAAATAGAATGGGAGTAGATCCCCGACAATGGATAATAATCCTACGAGAAAAGGATGTTCATTGTAGATCAAGGACAAATTTTCATGTAGTCCCTGACCTATGGCTTTCTTACCATATCAGTCCCCTCCCTTTTTTTAAAACAAAGCATCGATAAATAAAGGGTAAATATATTCACACCACAATTTTTGTTAACTACGCTATATTTTAATTATAATGAACATCCCTAAACTTTTCTTGTTTTTACACTTAAGTGTTCAACTTTAACATAAAAATTTAATCATCAATCCTCTATTAATTTTTACATCTTGTCTATAGAGACGATTTTCATCCAAAATGTTTGTTATGAGGCCAAAAACCATATTTATCTCTTGTATTTTCAAATAATCAAAATAAATAACTAATACAAAACTTCAACAAAATATTTCCCATCTTTCCAATGCATGCAGTAGAATATTTGGACGAAAATCTTGATTAGATATAAAACATAGTAATTAATTGAAAGTTAAGAATGACAATGCAACGAGAAAAAAGTCGAAAACATAAATGCAAAAGTGAGCAAATAGTAAAAATCTTTCTTGTAATTAAAATGTGATGCAGATATAAAAAATTGTTTTGTGCGTATAATTACCCATAAATAATCGAAGGTTAAAAGTTTATTTTCTATAAAATTACTATTATATCCTTATACTAAATTAAATTAATGGAAAATTAAGGGGAAAGAAAAGAAAATGGTGCATTTCTTCTCACGTGAAATTTCCTTTTTCTTTAGTATGGTGTCAGAATTAGAAACTTTGCCATGGGGTCGAAAAGAGAAGAAACACAAAAGGTGGGGTAAAAATGTAAATTCAGTAGAAATTTTGCCTATAAATAGTCTCTGTAAACTCGTTGGTCCTTCACTCCCAAGGTCTAATGGCGTTCGTAAAACTGCTCCTTTTTTCAATTTTATTACCCTTCATTTTCGCTAAATTTACATTAGCAGACCCTTTAACGGCCATTTTCGAAGACGAAAACGACACCGTATCCCAAGAAAACGTTGCAGATGCGTCCCTCTATCACGAACTCCAGCAACTCAAGTCAAAGGTTTCTCTTTTAGGTACCTTTATTTATCTATTTATATGCATATAAGGATTTAATTATATATGAAGATCATATCTTTTATGAAATTTGAAATTAAGTTCGATTTTTGTTAGAACTATATCACCGTTAAGAAATTAATATTCAAATTAGACGGCATCATTTACATTTCTTTTGGAGAAAAGGAGGATTTTTGCTTATTGGCCTGCATAATTTATAGTAAATTAGCCTTAATTTCTAGTTTTAGTTTACTATGCCTTATTTTTATGTAAAACATTTTAGATGTCCTCGTATGAAAATTGCCAAACTAGTTAGAATAGTATAGTTGAACTGAATCAATTCGTCTGTCCAAGACTTTCAAGTCAAATTCAAGGGGCTGGAATGCAGCAGAGGGGCGATGACAGGGACGGGATGGGAATCAGGGGAGATTGGGAGGGATGAGGAAGGAGAGGATGTTTTAGGGTTTTTATCGAATATAAGGTTAGTTATAAGAATTTTGTATAAGTGAGACCTTTCTTTAATATGTTCAATGAGTTTGGCCCATTTAAGTAAATTCTTCTATGAAAAGGTGAGCAATTAGATTCTTTTGGGTACTAGTATTGCTATCTTTTGTCAATTTTATCCTGCAAGTGAACGGAAATCATTCCCACGATAACTAATTATCTACATACGTTACATTGTTTAACTAATTTTAATTCAAGAAAACACAATGAATTGTTATGGTTTTATTTTAAACTATATCTAACTGTCTGTAAGCAATTAAAAGTAAGCAACAAAGGTTTCATCATAATCTCAGGCACAAAGAGTTTAGCCAGACATGATTAAATTAAATGAAAACAAAAAAGATGAATGAAATCATAACTCGAAAATTCTATGAAAGATGTGTATAACTCTCAAGGATGGATTTCTTCAAAATCTTGGAATAACCATGTCTTTGCCACAAAGAGTCACTCGGAATTGATGAAGAAATCTCTTTGCTTCGATTTCTATGAATCTCTAATATGTGGTCCTTTATTTTGACCTAAACTTCATCCTTTTATAGAGGTTTACTTACCCTGAAAGTCGTGTCCCCAAAATTCCCAAAGTGTACTTGATTTAGGAAATAAAGTTTTCCTAAACCTCGTCTCAGATGGGTCTCGCTAGGATCGCATTATGCTTGTTGCGGTGTCACTTAGACCAATAGGTAAAATTTTTGCCCCCACTGCAACCGCAATCAAACATTGTATGGTCACAGTCCTTCATTGTCCAAACCTGCTTATCTCCCAGTTTTCGTATAGGTTTATTCCTTCAATCTAGGTTTTTGTACACTTGTGGTCTCTTCAACTTTAATTCATCCAAATCAGGTCCCACCACTTCCAATTGGTTGATCCTCTATCTTTCAAACTCATCTACTTTAGTACTTCAACTTTAATTTCCTTCAAATTTAATCCTCGAAAGTGTTGACAATGTTGAAGTTGGTCCCCCAAACTTCTTCAAAAGTCGAATTTGGTCCCTACAATTGTGATCAGCTTCAAATCAAGTCTACTTTAGTCCTTCAACTTTAATTTCCTTCAAATTTAATCCTCAAAAGTGTTGAGAATGTTGACGTTGGTCCCCAAAACTTCTTTAGAAGTCGAATTTGGTCCCAAAACTTGTGATTCGTTTCCAGTCAAGTCCAAAATTTCGAGTGGCTTTTCAATTTCATCGGATCCCAATTAAGCTCCAAATCACTTCCTTTTTCTCTATTTATCTTCAAATCGGGGATTTAATCTATGAAAATCAAAAACAACACAAAGTGAGTAGAATATCACTCGATACATCGTTTAAGGACCTAGATAAGCGTGTAAAACACAATTATCACTATTAGTTAAGACCTATATTATTAACTTTGAAATTTAAAATACAGTTTAGTTTTAAAAAAAATTGTTTATTTGCTATAATTTTTCTTGTGGTTGAAGAAACCAGCATTGAGGGAAGCTTGCGGGAATTGAGAATCAAGGATGATAGTATCAAGCAGTTGGAGAAAATTGCTGAAGAAAAATCAAGTAGCTTAGCTTCATTGCAGAGTGAAGTACAATTGCTTCAGGTGAAAATTTATCCTACTGGTAGTGATATGTATCCTCATCTTCGCTGAGTATCCATGGCTGGAAGGTTGAAGTGTCAACTAATGATCAACGAACTATTTGCATGCCAATTGGAAAATTCTTGTTCATTCAGTCTCGATGAAATTTCTTTTCTATATTAGGAAACAAGATCTTTAGATGAAAAGGTGCGGCCTGGAAAGGTTGATGAGCAAGCTTCTAAGCTTGAGAAACAGGTTGTTGTTTTATAGTGCTGGACCAGGGTAAAATTTTTAATATTAATGATTTTTTTTCTTGAAATGTTGTGTGTTTTTTTTTATGCTGTATTTGTTGCAGATTGTAAATCTGAAAAAGGAAATAGAAGGACAAAACAGGAAAACAGATGAGTTGGAAAAACGAGCAAATGTAGCAGAGGAAAAGATTGAGGGGATGAACTTGAAGCTTGAAAGTGTACGTTTGAACTTTGAATACTTAACTTGATGATACTTTTGACATCAACAGATGTATTTGATAGCTATTGCTTTATTGCCAGCTTCGGCGGATAAGTGATGAACAAAGATCCAAGATTCGTAAAACTGAACGTGCGCTCCAAGTGGCAGAGGTTCTTTCAAATCCTATACTCCTGTATTTCTTGTCTTTTCAAGTAGTGTATAATCTTTGTTTTACCACATGAAAGTATTCATTTGAGGCGGCTGCAGGAAGAAATGTTGAAAGCTAAATTGGAGGCATCTTCAATTTCCCAACAATTCAAAGAGGTGATTCTGTTTTGTCACTCTTTTCATTCTGAATCTTTTGTATATTTGTCTTTGGCTCTGACTGGTTACTTTCTGCATCAACTTTCTTCACCTTTAGATTGATATGCTTGTGTATTAATCGTTGCATCTGAAACACAAGGTTTTGTTTTTTATTGATCACATTCTTCAAATTTACTCTCCTAGAAATGCATCATCTTGAACGCGCAAGGAAACCTTGTGAATATGTACCTTAAAACAGTAATGATATGAGCAATCCATTCACTCGAATCAATATCTCGTTAATTTTTCCTCTTTTCCTTTCCTTATCCTTATTGTGGTTATGGAGATAGTCTCTGGTGGGTTGTTGCAAGAAATAGGTCCAAAATATTTTAAGGGCAATTTTACAAAATTATGTAACAATAGATCCAGGAAAGAGGAACAACTCAAAGGAAACTAGTTGATGGAAAGTAGAATAAATGAAAACTCATGAAGTTTATAGTTTATGTACAAATATAGTTCTGTTAATCATGGATTAATCTTCTGTTATGGAGTAGATGGACTGACTTTATTTTATATCTAAAATTGACCAGGTTCACCAAGCGAGGTTATGGCCTTGGTTATCTGCACATTTTGATTTCTGCAAGGTAATATACATTACAAGATAATTATTACAGAGGGGAACTTGATTCTCAACTGGTTCTTTTAAACTTGTAGACCATTATTGTAGCTAATTGGAAAGAGCATGCAAAACCAGCCTTAGATCTGACAATTGAACAGGTGTTCTTTCTTTCTTATGATGTCACTATTCATCTGATCACTTTCTATTTTTTGTCCTGGGTTGATGTATTGTATGCAATACCTGCTAAGATAATGTATATTTAGCACTATTATTGCTATAGCTAAGAATATTCTAACTATTACATTATTCAGGCACTACAGAAGCTATCAGAAGTTGAAAAGTGGGCTCAGCCTCACTTTGAGACGTTTAAAAAAGTAAGTTAACCCCAAAAAGTTTCGTTTTGTACTTGAAAAAGTATTCCAGTTTTGTGCTGATGAGTATGGTTCTTGTGCTACTAGTTGATGTGGATTATTATGGCATTTGCCCTCTTTACTATTCTGTTTATACAGTCATAATCTCTTGCCCCCAGTAGGCATAAATTTGAAGAACCATAATTAAGTTTTTTTTGCCTCGTCAGTAGTGGGAAGTTTTTATCCTACCCACCGAGGGTAGGAGATCAATTCTATTTGTTTATAATTGCATATCAAGATACCTCAATTTTTGCTTGTCTTGAAAAATGTTAATACTGAAATCAAAGTGTTCTCATTACTCTATTGTGTCCCATACTTCTGGTGGACAATATGTGCGAATTTTGATTGTTTTCTAATTTCCATTGGTTGTTTTCTTTGTTTTAAGAAATGGATCCCGTCGATCAAAAAACACTCTATGGCATTTGTGAGGGATATTTTCGACTTTTATCAAGTGACCAAGGGAAATTTAGAACCTCATATTTTGAAAATCCAAGATATCATTGATCCCTACTTCCAGGTATACAACTCCAAACTACGTCAGTGATATAATTTTGTAGTTCACTTTTTATAGCCTGCATCCACTTCATTGGTTGACAACTGGACAGGGAGCTAAGAGGTTCATAAAGCCACATATTGTTCATGTTTTAAGGATTGCTAAACCTCATGTTGATAAAGCTCGTGTCTTCTTGAAGCCCTACTCAAAAGAAGTGCTTCGTAATTATAAGATAATCGCTAAAAACGTTCGAATATTCCATTCCCAGGTATTAATTTCTTTATATGACATTTATTCTTTTATTTTTCCATTTCCAGTTACTGTCATTTCTCACTCAGCCCTCTTCATGCTGCTTCTTGTTCTTTATATCCCCTTCCTCTAGTAAACTGCATTTGTGAATCTAGTTCATATTTTCTTATATGTTTAGATTACCGCTGTAGATGGAGCTTGTCGCATTAAGATTTGTGGAAACATGCAACCTCTTGGTTTCCTAATTTCAAGCAATTTCATTTCTTTTTGTACCTGTAATGATATTTGTAAACAATGACAAGGATTGAGGGGAAGAAACTAAAGACATTTCCAACTTGGAGTAAAATGTTGGTCCTGGTAATAGTTTTTTATAGATAGAGCCTAGTTGAAGAAGATAAGCCTGGTACCTTCATTGACTTGACTGTAATAGGTCGTATCTTTTTACTAATTTTTACACCTAAGCTATTTCAAAATAAGTTTTGGCAAATTCATCCATCTTTACCAGTTTTACCTCTCTGCATTATTAAATATCCAAGTACTTTGTGTGTGTGTGTGTGAGAGAGAGAGAGAGAGAGAGATTTATTATATGCTCTTTATGAAATCGATGTTTTATTCAATTCATTTATATTTGCCCTTATGCCTAACAATGTTCATTTTTGAAGGTCCGAGCAACTTTGCATGAAACATTAAATAGTTATGAGTTCACAAAACCTCTTGCTACAGAAGAGCTGGTTTATTTTATGGTATGTCTGGCATATATCGTGATCTTATCGTTCTTCTTGAATATGGAATTACTGATACTCACATTGTTTTGGCTTTGATTGTTTTAGTTTTAACTTTTTATCTTTCAACCATCATAGGCCTCCATTTCAATGGTGCTGCCTGTGGTTTTTGTTTTCAGAACACTTGCACGGTTAGTTGTTGATTTAAAACTGTAACATTCAAGTTGTCAATCACCGTTAACTTCTAAAATGGGCAAGGATCTCTCCAATTGTGTTTCATCCACCAGCTATAAAAATGGGACCCATGTAAAATCCACAGTATTCGTTGGCTTCCACATCATTGTAAGGTGGTCATTTGGATTGGATTAGACTGGATGGAATCACTTAGAATTGGAAAGGATCTAAACCCTTCTAACATCAAGTTATTGTTGCAATGTCTAATGAGCTGCTATGCCATTTGGTTTGAGTTTTGCAGTAAAAAGCCAAAGAAGCGCACTCGCAAGACCCATACAGGCCACACTCATCGGAGGGTGAAACGGGTTCATGCTGATAAATGAATTTGTACAAGATAGTTCATATGATTCATACTTTTGGACTAAAGGTCTAGTTCGACTTTTAATTTGGATCAACTTAAAGATTATACTGCCAGCATTCAACTACTTTTGTGAAATTTCTCCCCTTATTCCTCACTCTTGTCTTCCATCCTCTTTCTGCAGCTTTTGCTTTCTTAGTAAAGGACTAATGGTAGAAACGAGGTCCCTAGACTCTGCCATGGACAATTTTTTTATGGAACTAATGGAAATATGGAGTCATGGAATGCAGAATTGTATTTCTTTTGGTGAAGTTTCATTTAACTTTTAAAAGTTTGATAGACTTTTTGTTTCCTCCAACTCCAAAGGCTTTTCACCAATTTGCTTTAGCTTTACAGCTTGTTTTCTTTTATTTTTTTGTTTGATACGTACATGCTCTAGAATTTGTGTTCTTTACCATTTATATGTTAGAAGATTGTACCGTGTTGCTATTTGGGGGCTTAAGTTTGCTAAGTCACAAGCATGTCAATCCTTGCCAACTCAATTAATGCAGTTGCAGCTGTGCAAGAGCCCCCTTTTGCGCTCAAGAGGGAGCTCCTATTCACAGTATTGTTTCAATTTTACTGCAAACAGTGTGACTACGTGTGGCAATTTGTTATTTGATACATTAATGTGTTAGTTTTTTATTGCCTCATGCATCAAATAACAAATTGTTATATATATATATACCGGGCGACTATCGATAGTCCTCATGATGAACAGCATTACCCATGTGGCTCATGTCCTTGCATCTGAGGCTACGTCTTATTTCCACGGCATTTCTTGGGTTGGGGAATACCCACCCTTCATTGATACTATTTTCTTGGCTCAAGTAATTGAATGTGCATCTGCTTGGCTTAAAGAACATCGCTTAGATTCAATTAATGGAGATAAATTTTCTAGTAAATGTGTGTGGTTCTAATTATATAATATTCATGTCAATTACTTAATACTCTGCGAATATTAGAAAATTTTCTCAATCTCTTGCAACACGCTTAACATTAGTAGTAGTTGTTATTGCCATAGGTAGATGTGGTCCATAGGTACATGTTTAGAAGCCTTATAGAGAAAAAAAAAAAAAAATGCTAGTTTAAGATAGCTTACTTAGGGTCTATTTGGTACGACTTTCGAAAAGTCAAAAGTTGCTTTTGGATACGTTTGACTAATTTTATGAAAGCGTTTACGATAGTAAGAAGAGTATATAGAGAATGCAGATTCAATGAGTGTGAATTTCTCTATGAGCACTTATAGAATAGAATGTGCTTTTAAAAATTAGTTATAA